TATAATGTAATTATATTGCCATTTACCCTATGACCAATATTTCAACCGAAAAGAAAAATAACAGAGTATAGTTAATTGTACAAAATCGATGCAGAAAGTAAATGTTAGGATAAAATATATAACATATATAGAGGTTTAAAATAATTAATTTTAGAAAAGTGAAAATATTCTGATAAGGCGAAGTAAGAGATTGGAGATATGATATAATGAAGCATTAAGATTTAGGATTTGATAACTTGCTAATCCTGGAGTTTTTATAAAGAGTAATAAAACATTATGATAGGAGAGTTAAGTTTGTGAGTTGGCACACCTTAAACGTGAAATATAAATAGTGCATTATGTTCTCCAACTCCAGAACGCCAAATCGCAAACACCTTCAAAGCATGATGAAGAAAAAGTGCAGTTCAGGTCGGCAAAGGATTCCGATTGAGAAAATACCAAAAAAGAGTCACTTACAAGTAACATTTTCGAAGCGTCGTTCGGGACTCTTCAAAAAAGCGAGTGAGCTCTGCACACTCTGTGGAGTAGAAATCGCAATCATCGTTTTCTCTCCCGCGGACAAGGCCTTTTCGTTCGGCCACCCGCAAGTTGAATCCGTCGTTGATTCTTACGTAACTTCAAACTCATCACCAGAGTATAATCGCAGTGGTGGAGGTCACCAACTCGTTGAGGCTCATCGCAGTGCTAATATTCGTAATCTCAACGCGCAACTCACTCAGATTGTTAACGAGCTAGAGATGGAGAAAAGGCGAGGAGAAGAGCTGGATCGAGCGTGGAAAACGAGACAGAGCCAATTCTGGTGGGAGATCCCCGTTAACGAACTTGGATTGCAAGAGTTACAGCATTTGATGTTTTCGTTGGAGGAACTGAAAAACACTGTTGCAAAATATGCTACTCAAATAATGTCCATGGACCAAACTAGTATTGGGCCAACAGTTACTGGACCCGGGCCCATTGGATTTACCCTTGGGCCTTACGATGCCTTCGACACCAAACATGCTGATATTTACGCTAATGCCCCCGGTCTGAGCTTTCCATATTAATTAAATTAAAGACATGTACTTGCCAGTCCTATCCTTATTTCCCATTCTAATAAAATTGTTGTACAATGTTAGAATAATATAAAAAGAGGGTTTTTGAAAAGATAATGAGTGTAGAAGTAAAGCATAAATAGCTGTCACGTACCCTAAATTCCAAAGTGGTGATGTTACGTGAGAGAATCAACGGCAGATCGTAACAACACACATAAAATATCATTAATTGCCTGCATACGATTGTCATTTTCCTCCATTAATATTAATTGACTATTTCCTAATAAAAGAATTGTATGCAGTACTTTAAGGAGAAGCTTTCAAACAGAAAAAGGACGTCAAACATTTTCAAACTCGTCGTATGTAAGTGGGAGTAAAAATATTAAGAAAAGTCATTTTAAAGCTGGCTGGTTAGTATACAGTGCGTAATATATATATTATTATATTATTCTTAATATTATGTGATACAGTACTTTTATAAAATATATAATTCATGTATTTAAGTTTACATATATAATAATAATAATGCAAAACTCATAGGTATTATTAATATTTATATAGAGGTATAACTGACCTGGACTAGGTTGAGTTTGATATACTCTTTTATTCAACCAGTTTAAATTTAACTGGGTTAAGTATCATCAAATTTACGATCCATACCAGCTGTAATTGAACTGGGAATAAGTTGAGTAATTTAAACTATACTATAAAATAAATATTTCCAGTATTTTTTAATAATAACTAGAGAAAATATATGCTTTAAAGTTTTCTTTTTTATTATAATAAAAAATATTTTCTATAATTTTATTGTAAAGATAAATGTTTTTTATTTATTTTGTAAGTAGATTCATAATTAAAAAATGATTAAGTTAGAAAAAGGGTTAAATTTAAAATAAAAAACATTTATTTAAAAAGTAAAATTAATAAAAAAATATTTTATTTATTTATTTAAAGGATAAATTGAAAGTTAAATATGGATAAAAAAAGAATATATATAGATATAGACAAAGTAGCGACAATACTTATAATTAGTAAAAAATATTTATCTTCTAATTGTATTTATCCAGTTTGAAATTTATGATTACGTTTGTTAGTTTGGTACAGAAACTTATTTTTCATAGAAACAAATAAAACTTTCAAATTTGGAATTAATTGATTTATGATAACCCAACCATATTCTCGAAGCAACAATTTGAATAAAGTGGAAACTGTATATATTATATATTTTTTTGGAAAGCTTAAAATTGTTCATTATATATGTCAATAGTTGGTGAACAACAAAATAAACTTAGAGGTATAGAAGAGGTTAGATTTAGTTTGCATCTACGAACATCTCATGATAAATCACAATTAATAAAGAAAAATGATACTTGAACAACCATTTTTGACAACATTTAGACACGCGCACACGTGTCAAAATCTGAGTGGTCCAGTTGGAAAAATTAAATGAAAATGGACCACTCAGATTTTGACACGTGTGCGCNGTTCATCATAAAAAAAACTTTACCAAACTTCAGAGAACTCTACCTTTCAACATTATATATTTTTAAATTTTTATAAACTTATCCATTCATAAGCGCAACTCAATTTCACCTTCATTTCCTTATAAACCATCCACGTTATTTTACCTTTTTTTTGTATTTTTCATACTTTTGTTTTTGCATATTTAATTGTATACTCTAATTTGTTTTTCTTTTCAACAAAAATTAGTGTTTTAAAACGACATACTCAATGAAAGAAGTGGGCACTGACCAAAAAGTGAATAAATCAGGTGATTTACAAAAAAATATGCTCATTTTGCTAAACGTGAATATTAGCACAATTTAAAAACCATTCTGAATAAAATAAAATAAATTTGTAACAATAATATATAAAAAAAAGAATTAAGACATAATTTCACGAAATAATTAAATCGCTTAAAATTAGTAAATTTCAAATTTATTCTCAAATATAAGAATTTGTAAATTTTTACATTTTCAAATTCATATTTTATTTTTCATATATTTTCTTAATTTTTTATTTTGGTTTTGTTCGTCTATTTGACTAAAATCAAGACACAATGAAGATGATTATTTTGGTTGACGTCAATTTGAGTTATTTATTTATTTATTTATTTTATATATATAAACTTAATTTTTCAATTTAAGTTGTTATAATATATTTTTGTAGATCAATAATATTTATTGTTTGATATTAATTATAATTTTATAGACCAATGTCCGAGGAGACTACTTCGTTGTGGGTGTATTTTTTTTTTCAATTGATGTTTTTCGTGATTATTTTTTAATGATGCTTGAATTAATTTTGTTATCATCAACATAAATATTAATTTTTGTCAACAGTTTGTTTGTTTTTTCAATATTAGATTGAAAAACTATGTGCCAACATTAATATATAATTGTTATTTTATCAATGTACTTGGAAAATTGTCACTTGACATTAATATAAATAGTTAGAAAAAAACAGTCAATTATCAAGATCATATAAATAATCTTGATCAATGTCAACATAAATCATTGTGTTCGACATCGATAATTTTTTTTAAAATATTGGTTAAAAAAAAGTGACAAATTTTGACAAAAATAAAACATCAATCCAAATCGACTATATAAAATAATTAATTTTTATAATTTTTAATTCTTAACAACTATTTAGCATTTAACTAAATTTTTATATATAATAATAATTAAAATACTTTATTTAAATAAATAATTAAAATTCATTATTTTTTCTATTCAAACAAAATATTTTAAAAATAAACTAATTTTAAAAAATAAATTTAATTTCAATGTAATTATATATCTTAAAAATTACAAAATTTTGTAAACCAATATAATTTTAAGCCTAACACGAACCATGGTTAGAGTTTCCGGCTTAAGTGTGCTGGTAGAAAAGAAAAAGATGTGATAAGTATATATTTAATGTTGAAGTTAATCATTAGCTTTAAATAACAAGAAGTTACACACAAGATGTTATTTTATATTCATCATGGAGATTAACTATTTATAACTTCCTGATTAACTCCATCCTTGAAATGAAAACTCAATTAAGAGTCTAATAATTAATTTTTTAATAAATTATTTTCTATCTTCTTTTTCTTGTATTATTTTTTTCATTTCTCGTTCAACCCATTTTTTCATCATATATGTAAAATAGTTAGTAACTTTATCATTGATCAGTATTAAGGAATTTAAATTATTATTTTTAAGTTGAGTTTTTTGTTTCAACTGCAATTTTTTATCCACAAATATCAAAACTGATAAAAGTTTAAAGATCAAACGATTAGTTTTTTGAAATGATATATTAAAAAGGCTAAGAGTTTTACATACTCCAACACACGCAATTGTTCACACTGTTTTAGTCATCAAAAGTTTTATGTCAAATAAATAATATGTCCGAAGATAGTTGTAAGAACTATTAATGATTTGTATGGTAATATTATTAATTTAATAATAACCATTTAAAAAATATATCAAATATGATTTTTGATTAATTAATAGTACAAAAACTTTTATACCCATAACATATGGGTATTAAATTCTTTAATATAATGCATAAAATGAAATGTACGTCAATATGTATGAAATAAAAGTCTACAAAAGAAACCCCAAATGGAATGAAAGAGAATAAACCTAGAAAATCAGAATTCAATACAGTTATAACGTCTCACTGGGTAACATCGTCAATTTTCTTTTCCTCAATCTTAAATCTCGATGTTTCTTTATATGATTTTATTCTCAGTTTATAATGTAATTATATTGCCATTTACCCTATGACCAATATTTCAACCGAAAAGAAAAATAACAGAGTATAGTTAATTGTACAAAATCGATGCAGAAAGTAAATGTTAGGATAAAATATATAACATATATAGAGGTTTAAAATAATTAATTTTAGAAAAGTGAAAATTTTCTGATAAGGCGAAGTAAGAGATTGGAGATATGATATAATGAAGCATTAAGATTTAGGATTTGATAACTTGCTAATCCTGGAGTTTTTATAAAGAGTAATAAAACATTATGATAGGAGAGTTAAGTTTGTGAGTTGGCACACCTTAAACGTGAAATATAAATAGTGCATTATGTTCTCCAACTCCAGAACGCCAAATCGCAAACACCTTCAAAGCATGATGAAGAAAAAGTGCAGTTCAGGTCGGCAAAGGATTCCGATTGAGAAAATACCAAAAAAGAGTCACTTACAAGTAACATTTTCGAAGCGTCGTTCGGGACTCTTCAAAAAAGCGAGTGAGCTCTGCACACTCTGTGGAGTAGAAATCGCAATCATCGTTTTCTCTCCCGCGGACAAGGCCTTTTCGTTCGGCCACCCGCAAGTTGAATCCGTCGTTGATTCTTACGTAACTTCAAACTCATCACCAGAGTATAATCGCAGTGGTGGAGGTCACCAACTCGTTGAGGCTCATCGCAGTGCTAATATTCGTAATCTCAACGCGCAACTCACTCAGATTGTTAACGAGCTAGAGATGGAGAAAAGGCGAGGAGAAGAGCTGGATCGAGCGTGGAAAACGAGACAGAGCCAATTCTGGTGGGAGATCCCCGTTAACGAACTTGGATTGCAAGAGTTACAGCATTTGATGTTTTCGTTGGAGGAACTGAAAAACACTGTTGCAAAATATGCTACTCAAATAATGTCCATGGACCAAACTAGTATTGGGCCAACAGTTACTGGACCCGGGCCCATTGGATTTACCCTTGGGCCTTACGATGCCTTCGACACCAAACATGCTGATATTTACGCTAATGCCCCCGGTCTGAGCTTTCCATATTAATTAAATTAAAGACATGTACTTGCCAGTCCTATCCTTATTTCCCATTCTAATAAAATTGTTGTACAATTTTAGAATAATATAAAAAGAGGGTTTTTGAAAAGATAATGAGTGTAGAAGTAAAGCATAAATAGCTGTCACGTACCCTAAATTCCAAAGTGGTGATGTTACGTGAGAGAATCAACGGCAGATCGTAACAACACACATAAAATATCATTAATTGCCTGCATACGATTGTCATTTTCCTCCATTAATATTAATTGACTATTTCCTAATAAAAGAATTGTATGCAGTACTTTAAGGAGAAGCTTTCAAACAGAAAAAGGACGTCAAACATTTTCAAACTCGTCGTATGTAAGTGGGAGTAAAAATATTAAGAAAAGTCATTTTAAAGCTGGCTGGTTAGTATACAGTGCGTAATATATATATTATTATATTATTCTTAATATTATGTGATACAGTACTTTTATAAAATATATAATTCATGTATTTAAGTTTACATATATAATAATAATAATGCAAAACTCATAGGTATTATTAATATTTATATAGAGGTATAACTGACCTGGACTAGGTTGAGTTTGATATACTCTTTTATTAATTCAACCAGTTTAAATTTAACTGGGTTAAGTTTTATCAAATTTACGATCTATACCAGCTGTAATTGAACTGGGAATAAGTTGAGTAATTTAAACTATACTATAAAATAAATATTTCCAGTATTTTTTAATAATAACTAGAGAAAATATATGCTTTAAAGTTTTCTTTTTTATTATAATAAAAAATATTTTCTATAATTTTATTGTAAAGATAAATGTTTTTTATTTATTTTGTAAGTAGATTCATAATTAAAAAATGATTAAGTTAGAAAAAGGGTTAAATTTAAAATAAAAAACATTTATTTAAAAAGTAAAATTAATAAAAAAATATTTTATTTATTTATTTAAAGGATAAATTGAAAGTTAAATATGGATAAAAAAAGAATATATATAGATATAGACAAAGTAGCGACAATACTTATAATTAGTAAAAAATATTTATCTTCTAATTGTATTTATCCAGTTTGAAATTTATGATTATGTTTGTTAGTTTGGTACAGAAACTTATTTTTCATAGAAACAAATAAAACTTTCAAATTTGGAATTAATTGATTTATGATAACCCAACCATATTCTCGAAGCAACAATTTGAATAAAGTGGAAACTGTATATATTATATATTTTTTTGGAAAGCTTAAAATTGTTCATTATATATGTCAATAGTTGGTGAACAACAAAATAAACTTAGAGGTATAGAAGAGGTTAGATTTAGTTTGCATCTACGAACATCTCATGATAAATCACAATTAATAAAGAAAAATGATACTTGAACAACCATTTTTGACAACATTTAGACACGCGCACACGTGTCAAAATCTGAGTGGTCCAGTTGGAAAAATTAAATGAAAATGGACCACTCAGATTTTGACACGTGTGCGCGTGTCTAAATGTTGTCAGAAATGGTTGTTCAAGTGTCATTTTCCATTAATAAAATAACGTCTTTATTTTATTTCTTGTTATGATTAGACTATATTATTCCAATTATAATTATTTGTTTATATGAGTATATATATATATATATATATATATATATATATATATATATATTTATTAAAAAATAATATTGAATATTTGGAACAGGTGTGTGATAGTTGGATCTCCGACAGAGGTGTGAGAAACATAGATGTACGCAAAGGTGACGGCGTACGTGCGCACTCTGAACACGACACCCTTTGGCCAACCACGCTTCGCTGGTATCCACTCTCTCTCTCTCTACAGCTCATTGCCTCAATTTCATAACACTTTTTCTGTTACCTCTGTGTTACAACTGTATCACTCCCATCCCGCCACGTCAGATAACACCATTTTATCACCACCACTCCAATCATTACATCATATTAATTCAATAGACTAAAACATAGTTATTATGAATTTATATGCTGCGGAGAGGTTCTATGAAATAATTTTCTGGATCAAGAGAAAAGTGAATGATTGAATTTAAGAAAAATTGAAAATGAATTAATTGTTATTATTTTAAGCATTAGCATAAAAATTTCATTAGGAAAAAATTTAATATATAACTAAGCAAGGTAGTTGAAAATCAAGGTAAAAATGAACAAATTATAAACTATTGTATTTTATTTGATTAATTAGTCAATAAAAAACCAGTAATTTTCTGTCATTAAAAACACGCCTAAATAAAAGAGAACGAATGTAAAAGTTATCTTATTTTTAAGAATTATAATAAACATGTGATATTGTGCTGGTTTAAAAATGAATATTATATCGTTTTTCTTGAAAACTTTTCAAAAATGTCATCGTATAGAGAAAATCATATCTAGATGATTAAGTACACCTTTTTATTTATATTGGTTTTTCTTTCGAAACTCAAAACAAAAATATTATAGTGGCATTGAGAAAACCTAGCTAGATGATTAATTTCACCTTTCTATTTATTTATTTTTTATGAATATGTATGTATTATAATATCACGTCATTTATTAATTGTTGTTATCAACACTAATTTGAATGAAATGATATTTAAATTTTCTTAATCGAGATTATTGACTGATAGGAATGATAAAATATTATGAAGGAGAAAATGTCTTAGTTGTATTTGAAAAAATAGTTAAAGATAATATACATTATACCAACAACAATTAATTAAATTTTATGGCTTATATTACCTATAAAAGAAAATTAAGCAAATCACTGCGTCCACTATTAATGTTTCCGTATTTGGTGATTTTGATAAGAATAAGCGACAGTCAAAATGTGGTATATTTTGAATTGGTAAGAAGGGAGAAAGGTATTTATTAATGCTGTTTTTATTTTTATTAATTTACCATTTACTAGAGGTTTTTGAATTATGAATTATGAAATATGGTGGACTTAATTAAAATAAAAGAGTGGGGAATAAAAACTGTAGCCATTATCTTTAATTGAACCTGTTGATTCATGTATGAAAATTTAAATTGAATAAATGGGTAATAAAGAAGGAAGAGTATTATTCTCTGTATCAAAACCTGAAAGCAAAATAAATAAATTTTGATGGTAAATAAAAGTAATAGAGTATATTAAAAGAAAATAATGGAATTTATATTATTATTTGTAAAATATGGAAGTAAAATATTAATTGATAATTAATGATAAAAGAGAAAGAAGAAAGAATGAGAAATGCGAAAGAAAGAATAATGAATCTCCAACAGGTTACAGGCTGTCATATTCAGTTTCCTTGATAATCTCTCCTTTCTCTCTCTCGTTGAGTGTCACCTCAGCTGTCAATGTACAAATATATGAATATGAGTGAGCAGTTGCTTCCTCAACGCCAAAATCTATTGGCTACTCTCTCATATTAATCGAATCCACCCTCAAGCTTCATTCATTCATCACTCTTTCATTCAACATGGATCCGTGCCCCTTCGTGCGGATTCTCGTCGGAAACCTCGCCGTGAAGTCGCCGGCGTCGTCCAAACCTTCTTCGTTCTCAGGCAAGGTGCACCCTTCCACTTCTTCCTTATTCTGCAAGATTCAACTGAAGGGAGTGGATTGTGAGGAATCTCTTTCAGGCAGCAACGTGTGCAGTGTTCCTCTGATAACGGAGTTGGATCCACATCCTCGGTCGCTGGCGGCATCCTTCGATTTCTCCAAACCCAAAATCACGAAAGCGTCTAAGAAAGCCCAGATAAAGATATGGGTGTACAAGGGGGCGGCCACTCCCTCCTGCATCTTCACCTCCGCCAAACTAATAGGCAAAATCTCCATTCCCCTCGATCTCACCCTCGCCGAATCACGCTCCTGCACTTTCCACAACGGTTGGCTCCCCCTTACCAAAACCACCAACCGGGTCCAGTTACTTCATTTAACTATCCGGGCCGACCCGGACCCGCGCTTCGTCTTCCGCTTCGACGGCGAGCCGGAGTGTAGCCCCCAGGTTTTCCAAATCAAAGGCGACGTCAAGCAACCCGTTTTCACTTGCAAGTTCAGCTTCAGGGACAAGAATCCCGCTCACTTCCCTTCGCCCAACGCTAACAGTACCGCCGAGCGAAAAGGATGGTCCATCACCGTTCACGACCTTTCCGGCTCGCCGGTAGCCGCCGCCTCCATGGCCACGCCCTTTGTGCCTTCCCCGGGTTCGCAGCGGGTCAGCCGCTCCAACCCTGGAGCCTGGCTCATAATCCGCCCCGACGGAGACGGCACGTGGAAGCCCTGGGGCCGCCTCGAGGCCTGGCGCGAGCCCAACAACTCCAACGCCGTGGGCTACCGATTTCAAATCCTCCCCGCTACCGCTGACCCAGTCACCCTCGCAGGGTCCACCATCAGCTCCCAACACGGCGGGAAATTCACCATCGACGCTACCTCCGGCGTCACTCCGTTGAACACTCCGCGCGGCAGCTGGGATCTCGGGTCCGGGTCCGGGTCCAGTTTGGATTTCGGATTTGAACCGAATTCCCTTTTTAACAAGGGGTTTGTGATGTCAGCGACAGTGGACGGTGAAGGGAAGTGTAGCAAGCCCGAAGTGGAGGTTGGGGTACAGCACGTGACTTGCACGGAAGATGCTGCTGCTTTCGTTGCTCTCGCGGCGGCCCTGGATTTGAGTATGGACGCTTGCAAGCTGTTCTCCCAGAAACTCCGCAAGGAGTTAAGGCAGTAGATTCTGGATTTTGTCTTTTCGAGGTGAATTCCTCTGTCATTCTTAAGGCTATGTTCTGTGACCATTTTGGAGAGACCAAGACTCAGTTTTTTTTTTTTTTTGAGTTTTTTTGAGTTGGAGTGAAGATGTACAGTTAGGAAATTATTTGGCATTTTTTTTAGTACAGACATAAAGTTTTGAATTTATTTTTGATGATCTTGTATTCTTTTATTCTTCGTTTTTTTATGAAGAGTTGCTCTGTACAGAGTTTTTAATTGATGTCTGGTGTGCATCAGAATCCTATGCACGAGTGCGTGATCTCTGATACCAGAATTTACCTGTATTATTTTCTTACCTTCTCATAATAAAGAAATGAATGTAAATATTTGGAAAGCGAAAAGCAATAATAATGGGATGAGAAGGAGCAAAGCATAAATAAGGCCAGCCTGTAGACAGCCAAAATGCTTCTGTCCACATCAAACCTTGATATTATATTTCCAATTTTATAGCCACATTTCAAAAAACTCAAAATCACTTTCAAAACTTCTTGACTTCAATTAACGGCTTTTAAGGGTTACCTTTATTTTTATTTTTTCCAAAATAATCAATATTAACATACAAAAATTGTTAACAATTATTTAATGTTTATTTCCATTGTGAAAGTAATTTGTTGGTTGGAATAATTTTCTTTTGACGTATAAATAATTAATAATATAGACAAAAAATGTCAGATACATTAAAAAGAGATAATTGATTATGGTGCAGGATGGATTATATCTTATAAAGATGTTCAATTTAAGTTGATTATTACATGGCACAAACAATTTTGATATATAATTCATTATATTAATGGGTATTTTGATATATAATTCATTATATTATTTAATTAATTATTTTTTTTATTCTTTCACATAAATCTCAAATCTATTTCAAACTTTTTCTTAATTCAACCTAATACAAACAAGCTTACTCTACTAAATTTTATCTCCTTTGTTTCTCTTTCCACAGGGATAACAAGTCAAGGTTCTAATTTTCACTGCTTTCCAATAGACTTCACTTTAATTTGAATTTTAAATTCGCTCAACATCTTTCTCAAACCACAATCTTTGAACTTAGTTCATATATCTGATGTTCTTAATTATTTATTTCTTTCAATTCATTCTTTAAATTAATTTTGAAATTAAATTTTAAAATCTTTTTAAAATAATCTATAACAGTTAAAAATAATCATACATTACTTGTCAAAATTTCATCTACATATTTTTAAAAAATACATATATTAAAATTCGCAGTTATACATGTAAAATATCCTATACAGGCAATTCTATAAGACAGTAGTACATTGACAGGTAGTAGAATGACAGAGAGAAACTTGTGCATCTATTATTGAGAAGTTGAGTTGCCACTGAGGAATCTAATCCAAATCAACAGTGATGAGCTTAAACCCAGCTCGAGGCCTGCAATTGCACCACTAAACAAGATGAAAGAGTAACCAGCATTATCCATTAATTAATGTATTCACACAATGCAGTGATTTGTAAGGGACGAAAAGGCTCCATTTGAATTCAATTTGCCGTACCATATGACTCAGCTGCTGTATTTTGGTGCAGAAATGTAGTTGTGGACAACTGGAATGGACATGTCCTCTTCCATGGCCCGCAAGAATCATCCTTTCTGTCAGCTTCAAACAGATAAAGATGACAGTATAAACTCATCTCTACCATCCAATTACTCATTTCAAAATCTAGCCAACTCATCACTCATCATATTAAACTAATACACACATTTTCATATTTTTTTTTTATTTTTTTTTTTAATACATTGATAGTGCCATCGATTTCAAATTTTTTAAATAGAATTTGATTTTAAATTCCGTAAAAGCATGTACTCTACTAAAGATAATAGATATAATTAACAAATACTCCACACTAATACTATATTATGATTACAGAAAAATGTTTCTTTTAGAATTTAATATCAATGAGAAATTATAAAATTACATAAAGACAAATCCATTTAATTAATCCTATTCATAATTTTATAATAGATGAATTTTAACTAACCAGTAAAGTGCACAATTTTGAAAGTTCAAATATTTTTGTAATTAATGAAATTAAGTGCTTGCCAAAAATGTGTCCAAAATATGTTACTACCATGCCTTAAAAAAAAAAAAA